CACAAAAGAACTATCCTACAAGAACTATCCTGCTTCTCAATATGACCCATTGGGTTATCTTGTCCCAGTTATGGTAAGACTCAAATTATTTATTCAACATTTATGGAAACAAAATGTTTCCTGGGACCAATCTTTGAGTGAAACGGATAGTCAATATTGGAGAAATCTTATCAATGAATGGCCAACAAATGTAATTGAACTACCAAGACATGTAATAAATCCATTGCAAAGCCCAGAATTTCATCACAGATGCATCCCAAGTGGCATATTCTGCAGCCGTCTACATACGGAATTGTATGCCTGAAGGATGGTCGACGTCATCTTTGATCTTCGCAAAATCTCGAATAGCTCCAATTAAAGGTCTGTCCATACCCAGACTTGAATTACTATCGTATTGATTGGAGTAAGGGCAGGACAATTCGTATTAAGGCAATTACATGAGCAAAAAAAATCCTCCAGTTACATTGTGGTCTGATTCCAAATGTGTTCTTTACTGGATTATGAATTATATTAAACTCTTACCACGATTCGTACAAACTAGAGTGGAAAGTCCCAAATTTAAACTTCGATACATCCCCAGTCAAGAAAATCCAGCCGACATAGCGACTAAAGGACTTTCACCATGCAAATTACGAAATTATGAGCAGTGGTGGAATGGACCTGACTGGCTGGACCAAGATGAATCACAATGGCCCAATGATCACTTCCGTTATCAAGGTCAAGATGAATTCGAAAAGGCAATTATCGCGAATATGACAACAAGTCTAGTCCAAGACGGGTAGGAGTGGTGATTCAATTCATAGGGATACACCGCTTTAGTAAGTGGACCAAATTACTAAGAGCGACTGTATGGGCTTTCAAGTTCATTAAGCAAATCTGTCGCAGAAGATTATCTTGGTTACAACTACTATCAACGGGACAAATAACAATGACAACAAATGATTATAAAATAGCTCAGTAATTACTTATCCGGCAAGTACAGTCGCAAAGCTTAACAATAGACGAAAAGGAAAAATGGAGTTTATTAAAAAGAAGCCCCGACGACCTATGGAGATCTTGGAGCCGCTTAGGAAACTTTGAATTAATAGAGGATAGCAGATTCCCAATCTACTTACCGAAGGGTTTTTGTATTTTGTAACTTTTGTATTTCTGTTTTATCCTCATGTCAATTCTGGCTATTGTTAATCTAAAACTGAAGCTAATCTGTATAGTTTTCAAATGTTTCAAACGATTGCAACAAAGGGCAAATCCTACTGAAGCAGAACTAGTACTTACTTTAAAGGATGAACAAAATTTATCTTTAGAATTAAATTCAAATCAAATAAACATCTTTAAATATATCCCTAAAACTTCCTTTTTCTCTTCAGTAGGGAGTGTCGGAAAACGAAAGAATTTATTATACATTAAATGCTTAGGATATTTCTAATGATTCATCACAGCATTCATTCACCAATTTACATTCTTTAAAATTATTTCCCATACGTTTCTTTTGTTATCTTTGCCTAACGAAAATTCACATCTTTATTTTAATGACAAAGGATGTCCAATTTACATGCTAACCTTCCCATCTGATCTTGTTACAACGCTTATTATGTAATTAGATCTTTACAGTTCCCTTTGTATCTAAATGAATACCCTTTTAACGTTTTATGTAAACCACGCCTACTTCCTTATACATATAAACCCTTTTGAAAACAAAGAAAAAAGTTTTCTTGGGCTGGTGTTCTTCCATAGTGCTTTACTTACGATTGCATTTGACTCACGGTCGAGCGATTTCCTACTTGTTACTCTTCAATAATCCCACTGATCAACTCTGTATTATATCAATAAAGCGGTAAATTTTACTGTTTCCTGACAACGTATATTCGACGTCTTCACAAAGTAAGCCTTTAATTAAAGTTCTGCTTGATCCTAACTCAAGGCTAAATCTTCTAAATCTAAACGACTCGATAAAAAGAATTTTTTCACAACAGATCCTCCCACTTGAGGAAGCGGGGGATCCTAAGCATCAGTTCATTTTACACATGTGTTTCATTGGGGGTCGATTGGATATAAGGATCGGACGTGATTTGATCTTTGTTCTTGGTGAGCAATTTCCCAAAAGTTCCAAGGGCTTTTTCATCCTGATAATTCATCATTGAACTTTTAATCCCCATTGCTTCCAATTTCCATGTCCGTTCAATCTGCTCCAAGTGGACTTGAGACTCCTTTGTTATGTTCCCAGTTGTTTGAAATTTATAAGACTCATCATTTCTGTTTCTTGTATCACCACTGTCTTGCGTCACCTTCCGTTTGCCGCCTTCGACCACCCCTATTTCTATTTCCATAATCATCCATCCTGATGGGTGCTTTCTGGAATTACGAATGACTAATTCTGCAATTCCTTCTACGCCTAATAATCTGGTTTTCCCCACTACCTTCAACTAGTTTCT